TTCCTTTCTCCCCCATCTCTCTCCTTCTCCTCTCCTCTCTCTTCCTCCCTCTCTCTCTCCCCCTTTCTCTCTTTCTCTCTCCCCCTTTCTCTCATCCTCTCCTCTCCCTCCTCCCCTCTCTCTCTTCCTCTTCTTTTATCTCTCCTCTCTTCCCTTGTCACTCCCCCCTCTCTCTTACCTTTTCCCTCTCTCTCACTTTCTCCCCCCCTTTTCCCTTCTTTTTTTCTCCCCTCCTTCTAGGCTCCCCTTCTCTCTCTCCTCTCCTATCTCTCACTCTCTCCCCCTTTTTTTTTCTCTTTCTCTCTCTCTTTCACAAAAAAAAAAAAATGGTTGGGACTCGCAGGAATCAGGGATCAGATGACAATGGTACGGTAGGGAGGAATGGATGGAGGAACAGTGAAAGGATAGAGCAAGAATGGGAGAAAAAATTAGGAGAGCTTTCTGAAAAAATGGAGAAAGAGCTCTCTGTGAAATGGGAAAAGAGTGTGAGAAGGAACGAAGGATTTGGGAGGCACAAGTCGAAACTGCAGTAGCCAGGGTAAAGGTCCTAGAATTTGAGGTAAACAGGCTGAAGCAAGTCTCAGGGGTAGTGACCAAGAAGACACACCATACGAAGATGAGAGGCTGAACAGGAAGGAGATATGAATTATGCTAAGGTCATATCAGCCTGCAAAGAAGGGCCAGGGAGTGGAAGGGAAGAGCAGATGGGTGCAGATGTGAGAGGGAGATAGGTCGAATGCTGAGGCACAACCATGCTACCAAGAGCCACTGGAAAAATCAAGGAGAAAATGACCACATACAGACAGGAACCAGAGTCACAGAGGGAGAGGCAATGGAGAAGAAAGGGCAAAATCAGTGATTATCCATGGGCTTCGGGAGAGAGAGGAAAGGACACACACTGAAAGACGGCAGGAAGAAAGAAAGGAGAGTGAGAAAATCATCACAGAAATAGTGGGAGAAGACATGGATGAGATTGTAAATTTTCAGAGAATAGGGGGGTACTTGAAGGGAGAAACCGACCGATCAAGCTGATTCTCAGGACAGAAACAGTGCGGAACAGGATCCTCCAAGAGAAACCACGGTTGAAAAGCTTGGAAGAGTACAAGAAGGTGTTCCTAGACAGAGACAGAACACAAACAGAGAGACGGCAGCTGAGGGAGAGGACAAAAAAGCGAAAGGAGCTAGGAAAGGAGACAAGGATGGAACCAGCAGAGGTCAGTCAGAGCAGAACAGAGCAGCAAGGGCAAGCACACACACAACTATCCTCAGAACCCCACAACCTATCACACCATCCCAACACACAATACAATCCATACCCACAGCTTCCACCCAACCCCCAACCATAGAATCCCACAGTATGCTACCAGGTCTCCCACCCCCACAGGCCCCCCAAACCACAGTGTTGGAAAAGAAACTGAAGGTATGGTACACAAACGCTGATGGAATAACAAACAAGTGGAGGAGTGGCACGAAAGATCAAAGAGGCATCACCAGACATCATAGCGATCACAGAAACCAAGCTTACAGGTATGATAACAGATGCCATCTTCCAGCGGATACCAGATCCTGAGAAAAGACAGAAGGAACAGGGGGGGTGGAGGAGTGCATTGCCGATCAAACACCGATGGAATTTTTGATGAGCTGGAGAGAGGAGACAGTGGAGAAGAAAGTGATTACATAGCGGGAACGCTTCACTCTGGTGGTCCCAAGGTGATAATTGCAGTGATGTATAACCCACCACAGAACAGCAGGAGGCCAAGGCAAGAGTATGACGAGAGCAATAGAGCGATGGTTGACACACTGGCTGCAGTGGCGAGAAGAGCTCATGCATGCAGGGCAAAGCTCCTGATCATGGGCGACTTTAACCACAAGGAGATCGAATGGGAGAACTTGGAGCCACATGGGGGCCAAGATACATGGAAGGCTAAAATGATGGAGGTGGTACTGGAAAACTTCATGTACCAACACGTAAGGGACACTACAAGAGAGAGAGGAGAGGATGAACCAGCAAGACTGGACTAGTATTCACCTTGAGTAGTGCAGATATTGAGGACATCACATATGAAAGACCCCTTGGGGCCAGCGATCATGTGGTTTCGAGCTTCGAATACACAGTAGAGCTACAAGTGGAGGGGGAAGCAGGAAGGCCAGGACAAATGAAACCAAACTACAGGAAAGGGGACTACAAAGGAATGAGGAACTTCCTGAATGAGGTTCTGTGGGACAGAGAACTGGCAGGGAAGCCAGTTAATGAGATGATGGAATATGTAGCAACAATGTGCAAGGAGGCTGAGGAGAGGTTTGTACCCAAGGGTAACAGGAATAATGGAAAAGCCAGGATGAGCCCATGGTTCACCCAAAGATGCAAGGAGGCAAAAACCAAGTGTGCTAGGAAATGGAAGAAATATAGAAGGCAAAGGACCCAGGAGAATAAGGAGAGCAGTCGTAGAGCCAGAAACGAATATGCACAGATAAGAAGGGAGGCCCAACGTCAATATGAAAACGACATAGCAGCAAAAGCCAAATCTGACCCGAAGCTGTTATACAGTCACATCAGGAAGAAAACAACTGTCAAGGACCAGGTCATCAGGCTAAGGAAGGAAGGAGGAGAGACAACAAGAACTGACCGTGAAGTATGTGAGGAACTCAACAAGAGATTCAAAGAATTGTTCACAGAGGAGACAGAAGGGGCTCCAGAAAGACGGAAGGTGGGTACACCACCATTTCTGGACACAGTACACACAACCGAGGAAGAAGTGAAGAGGCTTCTGAGTGAGCTAGATACCTCAAAGGCAATGGGGCCAGATAACATCTCTCCATGGGTCCTGAGAGAGGGAGCAGAGGCGCTATGTGTACCCCTAACAACAATATTCAATACATCTATCGAAACAGGGAGATTGCCTGAGGCATGGAAGACAGCAAATGTGGTCCCAATCTTTAAAAAAGGAGACAGACATCAAGCACTAAACTACAGACCAGTGTCACTGACATGTATAGCATGCAAAATCATGGAAAAAGATTGTCAGGAGAAGAATGGTGGAACATCTAGAAAGGAATGATCACATCACCAGCAGCCAACATGGTTTCAGAGACGGGAAATCCTGTGTCACAAACCTACTGGAGTTCTATGACATGGTGACAGCAGTAAGACAAGAGAGAGAGGGGTGGGTGGATTGCATTTTCTTGGACTGCAAGAAGGCGTTTGACACAGTACCACACAAGAGATTAGTGCAAAAACTGGAGGACCAAGCAGGGATAACAGGGAAGGCACTGCAATGGATCAGGGAATACTTGTCAGGAAGACAGCAGCGAGTAATGGTACGTGGCGAGGTGTCAGAGTGGGCACCTGTGGCCAGTGGGGTCCCACAGGGGTCAGTCCTAGGACTAGTGCTGTTTCTGGTATTTGTGAACGACATGACGGAAGGAATAAACTCCGAGGTGTCCCTGTTTGTAGATGACGTGAAGTTGATGAGAAGAGTTCATTCGATCGAAGACCAGGCAGAAATACAAAGGGATCTGGACAGGCTGCAGACCTGGTCCAGCAACTGGCTCCTGGAGTTCAATCCCACCAAGTGGGATTGGGGAAGGGCAAAGAAGACCGCAGACGGAGTACAGTCTAGGGGGCCAGAGACTACAAACATCACTCAAGGAAAAAGATCTTGGGGTGAGTATAACACCAGGCATATCTCCTGAAGCGCACATCAACCAAATAACTGCCGCAGCATATGGGCGCCTGGCAAACCTCAGAACAGCATTCCGACATCTTAATAAGGAATCGTTCAGGACCCTGTACACCGTGTACGTTAGGCCCATATTGGAGTATGCGGCACCAGTTTGGAACCCACACCTAGCCAAGCATGTAAAGAAACTAGAGAAAGTGCAAAGGTTTGCAACAAGACTAGTCCCAGAGTTAAGAGGTATGTCCTATGAGGAGAGGTTAAGGGAAATCAATCTGACAACACTGGAGGACAGGAGAGATAGGGGGACATGATAAACGACTTACAAAATACTGAGAGGAATTGACAAGGTGGACAAAGACAGATATTCCAGAGACTGGACACAGCAACACGGGGACACAGTTGGAAGCTGAAGACACAGATGAATCAAAGGGATGTTAGGAAGTATTTCTTCAGCCACAGAGTAGTCAGGAAGTGGAATAGTTTGGGAAGCGATGTAGTGGAGGCAGGATCCATACATAGCTTTAAGCAGAGGTACGATAAAACTCATGGTTCAGGGAGAGTGACCTAGTAGCGACCAGTGAAGAGGCGGGGCCAGGAGCTTGGACTCGACCCCTGCAACCTCAACTAAGTGAGTACAACTAGGTGAGTACACACACACACACACACACACACACAAAAAAAAAAAAAAAAAAAAAAAAAAAAAAAAAGATTAGTCTGAGTAATGGGAAGCACATGTAATCAGGTCTCATCTAAAGAAGGGAAGGGTAGCTCCAATTTCTTGGCTCAAGAGACCTTCATCAGCAGAAAGGCACCCTCCTTGAAGAGTCCCTGTCTATCAGCTGTATCACTGTCAGTTATTCATTTCTTTATTATACATACTACTTCATTTTTTCTTTATCATATACTGTACATTACAGCTTTCCATTTCTACTCATGTAACTACCCTTAACCCTTAAACTGTCCAAACGTAGATCTACGTTTTTTCAACATTTGAAAGTATGTAAAAAAACGTAGACCTTCTTTTTTTTCTTTTACATTTGAAAATGTGTAAAAAAACTTTGATCTACATTTTTTTTTTGTTATATTTGAAAATATGTAAAAAAACGTAGATCTACTTTTGGAGCACTACGCATGTGAACGTAGATCTGTTTGGACAGTTTAAGGGTTAAAATTCTACACTTTTTAATTCCCTAATGAAAATTTCTGTGAAACAACATTCTAGCATATACATGCTACATTCTCACACTATGTTCTATCATATCTCATGGCTTTTATATTTTTACTTCTAACTACCAATTATCTAACTTAACATATACTTACAGAGTCTTGATCATGCGTTGCAAGAAGAGAGAGCGTTTTAAGAGCAGGTTTAGCCGACAGGGGCCGCCAATGGACTGTATCTTTTAATATGTTTGCAATAACAAGTATGGATTCAGCACCTTGACTTCCTACACGCACAAGTGAAGTGATCAAATCCTCTGGTACATATGGACATTCCAGGAACAACCGTGATAAAAACCTAAAAAAAAAAATAATTAATTAAAATTAATGACAGTACAGTCTCTCCTCACTTAGTGATGTACTCGTTTACTGATGACATGGACTTACGTTGGGCTCTCTGACCAGTATGCATACCTAAATAATGTATATTAGAGCTGATTTCCTCAATTCTTTTTATTACAATATATAGTACACTGCTGTATAAACATTTAAAAATATACCAGAAATGTAATAAATGGTGCAAAGGTGGCATTAAAACAATATCAAAGATGGTTGACACAAACCCACTACCATTATAGCACGCTCCTCACTTAGCGACGAATTCGTTTACCGACATTGTCTTAGGAACGGAACTCCATCGTTAAGTGAGAAACAGCACAGATGACAATGTATGAAGATAAGATAAAAGATAAAGGTTTTATTTCTTTGCAAAGGTTACAGTGTGTAATTACAATTTTGATTGGTTAAGTACAAAGAAAGCCACTATCATGCCGAGGCATTTCGAGCAGACTAAACCTAATGCTTACAGACCACTTAATACTAGACATATAGAGTGGTAAATTTTAATTATACACTGAGTTCCTTATTACAACAGAGGTAGCTAGTGGTTTACAGTAATTAAATTTATAGTTGAGATGAAGTATATAAAACAGTATACTACATACTGGTCAGAGAGCCCATCGTAGTCTGAGTCATCAGTAAACGAGTACGCTGCTAAGTGAGGAGAGGCTGTATTACAATTTAGCACAAAGATGCCATAAAAATAAATATGATAGGGATGTAGGGAGGAAATAAAAAACCTAAAATCTAGTGTGACAATGGAACTGAAGGGAAAAAGTGTTGATGGGAGCTCTCACCCAAAATTTGTTTATGTTTGGAGAAGGAATTTAGTAACATTTTCGTCAATGAATTTATAATACTGGTTTCTTAACCCTTTCAGGGTCCGTCCCGTAGATCTACGGCTTTACGTTCAGGGTCCAAACCGTAGATCTACGCCATGAGCTCAGCTCACTCTGATAAACTGTGAGTGGTACATTTGGGCCTAGATATGAGAGAATACATCTATGTGGTATGTGTGCACCACATAAAACAGATCCTGCAGCACACTGTGTATAATGAGAGAAAAAAAATGAAATCATGATTTTTCGATTAAAACAGCAACTTTGCAGTGTTTTTTCGTATGTTTTTTATAGTTGTATTTGCGATTTCTTGGTCTCATTTGATAGAATGGAAGACAAATTACAGAAATAGAGATGATTTTGATTGGTTTTAGCACTGGAAATGGCTTGAAACTGAGCTCAAAGTAGCAGAAATGTTAAATTTTTGCCGATATTCAAGAGTAAACAAACGACCTCACACGTCTAATACACGTCAGCTGGTGGGTCTAATATACATTCACAAATATGGTGATGATATTTATACAACTATTACAGTATTGCATAACAGTAAATCTTCTATTTTTTGGTGTGAATAAAAATTCATTATGTGAATAAAAAATCAAAATGGAATTTATTTGTAAAGCCTCAAAACATAACTAATGAACAGAGGAAATGTTAGTTTAGTGCCAGGAATGCCTACATTGTTCATTCTGGACCCTATTTTGAAATTGGAATATTTTGAACTTTGTGTTAAATTGGCCAAATTAACAATTTCCGATCACTTTATTTCGTAGTTGAAACAGTTGAATTGGCGATTTCTTGTGCTCAATCGATAGAATAGAAGTAATACTAGTGAAATAGCTAAGAATTTGGTTGATTGGAATAATGTAATTGGCCTAAAATGGGAGTCAAAGTCGGCAAAATCGCCGATTCGTAAATATCGCTGACACATCAAAATTCGCGAGAGCATAATTTCGTCAATTTTCCACCAAATTTCGTACTTTTTGTTTTATTACCTTCACAAAAAGATTCTCTACGATTTCATAAGAAAAAATAACAAATTTTTTTTTTGAAAATTCTTGGACACTGGTGCGTGACTCCAGATTTGGGCCTTGGACCCTGAAAGGGTTAAATAATGGAATTTTGGTAAAATCAGAAAATCACATCAAAAACCCTTCTCAAAAATCAAGGTGCCCACCATTATGGGAAATTTTCCTATTACTACATATACGGTACAGCATAAACAATTACTTTACAACAGTAATAAAGAATTTAAATAATAATGTTAATGTACCTCTTCTGCATTTGGATTTATTAAGAGTTTAGGACAAAAATAAATATCTATTAAGACTTTTAATTTAGTCTCATGGGTTGAACAGACAAGATTTCCCACAAATTAAATGTAGGGTAATATTTTGTGAAGGGATTCAGGAAAACTGGTTGGCCAGATTTGAGTCCTGGAGGTAGGAAGTACAATAATGCCTGCTGTTTGGAATGACATCTGAACTGTTGTATCTGAGTGCCTCTGCAAAGACAGTGATTATCTGTGAATGATAATGACAGTATTGAATGATTGTGAGAGTGTTTCTTTCTTTTTTGGGTCACCTTGGTTTGGCGGGAGATGGCTGACGTGTTAAAAAAAAAAAATATAATTATACAGTGGAACCCCGGATTTTGCACGCACCGGATGTTTAGGATTTAGAACAGTTTTTTGGGCGAAATTTTGCTCCAGATTTCGTACCTTGTCTCAGGAATCATATGTATCAGAAGCGTTCAACCGTCGGGATGCCGCCCCAGTCTGGCTTTGTCACTGGTTGAGTGAACATTCATCCAAAACATTTCACAATTTTTGTGCTCGTTTATTGACTGCGAATGCGAAATAAGCCCAAAGGAAGTTCCTAGTGCCAGCCCTTTGGTAAAGAAAGTAAGAAACATGACAGAATTGAAGAAAGAGATTGTAGAAAAATACCCTAAGAGAGTTCTGGAGGGATCACTTCAATATCCTCCATTGCATAAACCTTATAGGTAAGGCTTGGCAGAAAGTGACTTCCAGGACTTTGAACTCTGCTTGGAGAAAACTGAGGCCAGAATGTGTCCTCGACGAGGATTTTGAAGGGTTTGAGGCTGACCCTGATGACCCTACGCCTCTTGTGGAATCTTCAATAAAGGTATGTAATGTTCATTTATCATTAACATTAGTGCTTTATATTTACTTCTCATTGTTTTCTGTATGTAAAACCATAGTTACTCTTCAAAAAATTTATTTTTTTTGTGAATATTTTTGGGTGTCTGGAACGGATTAATTGGATTTACATTATTTCTTATGTGAAATATTACTTCGTTTTTGTGTGTTTTGGATTTAGAATGACCTTCTGGAAGAGATTAAGTATGAAATCCGGGGTTCCACTGTATATATATAGCATGGTGTTAAGTATACTGTACTATTACAAGGGACAGAAAGCTCTTAGCTTATTGAAACTATCCATACAAATCACCCATCTAGCTAATGGCCAGACTCAACACTGCTTATCCTGACTGATGAAGCAATACAAGTGTCACCCAGTGGTCTATACCTTAAGCATACCTATAAGTAATTACTTTCAAGATAAAAGGAATAATACAACAAAAATATTATTAACATAATCAGCAATATTTATAAAAAATATAATTTAATTACTCATCTCTCTCCTTTGTCGAATCTTTGGCTAGAACTTTCAATGCAATACTGCTGATAATATCCGAGTACTTCTTTTCCTTCTTGTTTGCTGTTGTAATGTCTGTATTGAAAATTTTGTTGATATGTGAAAAATCATGTTCTAGTGAATATTCTGCATAGAGCCAGGAGAAAAGAAGGTCAGCACGGTTGTGCAGGTCCTCGAGAATAAAATCTTCAAGCTCTGAAAAAGGGAATAAATATATATTAATGGACAAAAAAAAAAGTGTAAAAATGTTTTAGTGAATAAGCCTTTGAGTATACCAGGTAAAGTGTATGGTAGTTATTAATGAAAGAATTATGGGTAAGACAGAGAGCAGGACTGCAGATAAACAAGGAGCTTTTAGGAAAAGTAGGGGATGTGTAGACTAAGTGTTCACACTGATGCACACTAGTGAACAATATTTATATAAGGGTAAGATGATGTTTGTTGCATTCATGGATTTACAAAAGGCTGTGCACTTAATAACAGCGGCATCTGAAATGTCACTGCTGTTAAGTGCACATTATAATACAGTATAACTTTACCTTCACTTTCTTTGGATGACATGCATCCTGACAGCATGGTTAGAATTCTTGTACGGTGCTTTGATGCACTGTCAAATAGCATCTTATCACACTGCAATAGCCGAAGGAGAAGTAATCGTTGCATCTTACTGTTGCCGGCAGCAAACAATGGTTTGGTAACCTCATCCAACTTCATGGTTTTCGCTTTAGGTCTTGACGCACGACCAGCCACTCCTGCAGGAACCAGCACTGGCCCTGACTGCAGATTTAACAAAATTTAGCTTACTTCTTCAGCTGAAACTGTGTACATTAATTTCCATTTGCAACATTTCCTAAATATAGTCCACAGCAAACAAGGACTTCATACAAACAATGGCTATAAAAAATTTAACCCTTTGAGAATCAGAACCCCTACTCTCAGGGTTGGAAAATTAAAAAAGAAATTTTTTTATTTTTTTCTTTGGAAATCATAGAGAATCTTTTTCTGAAGGTAATAAAAGAAAAAGTACCAAATTTGATGGAAAACTAAAGAAATTACACTCTTGTGAATTTTGCTGCGTCAGCGATGCTTACACATTGGCGATTTTACCCACTTTCAGTCCGATTTTAGGCCAATTACAGCCTCTCCTCACTTAACAATGGAGTTCCACTCCTAAGACCATGTCGGCAAATGAATTCGTTGCTAAGTGAGAAGCATGCTAAAATGGTAGTGGGTTTGTGTCAACCATCTTTGATATTGTTTTAATGTCAACTTTGCACCATTTAAAATATTTCTGGTTTATTTTTAAATATTTATACAGGTAAGAAGATATTTGTTACATTCATGGATTTACAAAAGGCTGTGCACTTAATAACAGAGGCATCTGCCAGTGTTGAAATTACATATACTGTACTGATAATAAAATGTTGTATGAGTGCTGAGAATTAGAGAAATTTGAGCTGTAGTTTTGCATTAGAGAGCAAACAGAATTACTTAACTTGCAGGCAAAATGAAGAGTTTTTTTTTTTTTTACGGACTTCCATTACATTTGCACTTTCAGATTTCCAACCCAAAACCTATTACCGTTAAGTATAATAATGCCTGATTATTTATTAGGATAATTACATTTATACAGTGGACCCTCGACCAACGATATTAATCCGTTCCTGAGAGCTCATCGTTAATCGAAATTATCGTTAGTCGAGTTAATTTTCCCCATAAGAAATAATGGAAATCAAATTAATCCGTGCAAGACACCCAAAAGTATTGAAAAAATTTTTTTTTTTACCAAATGAAATATTAAGTTTAATACACACAAACTGAAGAAGACATGTACAATTACATGACACTTACCTTTATTGAAGATCTGGTGATGACTGATGGGATGGGAGGAGGGGGGACTGTGGATGGTGTTAGTGTTTAGAAGGGGAATCCCCTTCCATTAGGACTTGAGGTGTCAAGTCCTTTTCCAGGGTTACTTCCCTTCTTCTTTTAATGCCACTAGGACCAGCTTGAGAGTCACTGGACCTCTGTCGCACAACATCTCTGTCCATAGAGGCCTGTACCTCTCGTTCCTTTATGGCATTCTTAAAGTGTTTCACAACATTGTCAGTGTCACAATTAAACACTTGTTCAGGTTTCAATTCTTCACTGTCTATGTACTCCTTGAATTCCTGCACAATATTTTCACTGCTTTTGGTCCAAACGGGCAGCCTCACCATCCTTACACATATGTATCCACTACGATTTTTAAATTCTAAAACCCAAACCCTTTGGGGGCCTTATTTCGCTCACATCCCACTATTCGGGCATTTTTCAAATTTAAAATCCTCATGAAAAATTCCTGCCTTTTCACATATGATCGCTTGGAATGCTATCCCGGAACTGTTTTTCATTTTTTCACACAAATAACAGCTTCAACATCTTCTACCTTGCAATCTCAGTTTCGAAAACATAGTTGCACCTTTGGCAAGAAACTTCCCTTGTTTCCGTTTTCTTGGGCCCAATATAGCGATGGTTGATTGGGTTTTGGTACAACCTGGCCCCCGGGAGACCCCCCCTTTCAACTTAGCAATGATCTCTTTCTTAAAATTTCTATAGAAATTTCTCCCCTTTTTGCTGTGGGGTTGGGACTAAACTTTTTTTTTGGGGGCCCAAAGGGACTTATTTTCGGTGCAATCACAAAAAAACGTGTGATAATTTTGAAAGTTCCAAATTGATTTTTGGATGGGCCCGTGGGGGCGGGCGGCTGTTGTAAACAGGGCCCACAAGGGGAAAAGCTTCAGAGGGAACGAACTGTTGGTCGAGTTTTTTAACGTTTGTCGAGGCAAATTTTTGCGTTAAAAATTGATCGCTAGGGGATTTAACTTTAGACGATGCCATCGGGGTCGGGGGTCCACGATTAGGTGTAGGTTAGTACACAGAAACCCGCTCGGGGAGGTACTACCGCCCTGCCAAGGAGTTAAAAGAAACCTGTACATGAAATTTGTTTTACATAGGGTAGGGCTCGTATTTTTTTGTCTCATAGACTTGAAAGTCTTATACTTTTTCTTACACTTAGGTCACTGCCAACATGTAAAAGAGCATGCTGCATAATAATAAAAAATATAATTTATAATATTAATAATATATATATATATATATATATATATTAGCAGCATATGTGTGGTGTTGTGTGTGTATAAAAATAATATATATATTTTTAATAATATATAAAAATAATCGGGGGAAGAGAGAGGTGAAGGTTTAAAACTAAAAAGGCAGTTGGGGAAAGAAAAAAAAACACTTTGGAGGATAAGGGGCAAAATGAAGCATAGGCAAGGGGGTCAAGGGGTTGGGATAGGATTAAAAATGTGTTTAGAGTTTTCGCAAATTTTGTGGTTACAGAAAGGGGGGTGCAGGGGGAAAGGAGCGATTGGTGGAATGTGGTAAAGAGAGTAGAAAGGGGAAAAATTAGCAAAATAAAGTTTTAAACAAAGGATGCAAGGGGGGAGGTAAAAGGAAAAAAGGAGGGGTTTAAGAGAGTGGTAAAGCAATGTAAAAAAGCAAAGAGGAGGGGGTGAATGTTAACAAATTTTGTTGAAAATAAAAAAATTTTTGGAGTGAGATTAAAATTAAGAAACCCTAGAGAAAAAAGGTTTTTGCAGTTAAAAATAGGGGGAGAGTTTTTTAATGGAGGTTGGGGGTTTTGGGAAATGGGGGGAAAATTTTTTGAGAATTTGTTAAATTTTTGATGAAAATAGGGAAGTGGTTTGTGTATGGGAAAGGGAAAAATAACATCTTGTGGGAGTGACGAAAGCCAGTTGTGATGTGGGGGAATTTTCGTGGGGCAGGTAAAATGAAGGGGGTAAGGCACCCGGGGTTGGGGGGATAAAGTTAAAAAGTTAAAAGTGGGATTTAGTTTTGGAGTGGTTGGTGCATTATTTAATAAATGTAGGGGAAGGGGGTAAGGTACCTGGGGATTGGCGGGAGCATGCTATTCCCTTTTGTAAAAAGGAAAAAGGGGGAAAAAAGAAGTGCAAAAATTATAGGGGAATCTTTGAGGTACCTGGTAAAGTGTAGGTAGAGTTATAAGAAAGAATTAAGAGTAAGAGGGAAATAGGATACAATGAACAAGGGGCTTTAGAAAGGGTAGGGGGTGTGGGCCGGGTGTTTACAGGAAACATAAAGGAACAGTTTTTAGAAAAGGGCAAAGGGGTTTTGTGGCATTTAGTTTTGGAAAAGGCGTATACAGGGGGGATAGGGGAATGTGGCAGTGTTGCAAGTGAGGTGTAGGAGGTGGTTCTGAAAGCAGTGAAGAGTTTTTTTACGGGATAGTGAGGCTCAAGTTAAGTTGTGGGAAAAGGTTTTTTTTTTCCCAGTAAAAGACCCAAAACAAGGATGTGTGAGTCACCGTGGTTTTTTATATATTTATAAATGGGGTTGTAAAAAAGTAAATGCAGGGTTTTGGCAAGAGGCGGGGAGTTAAAAGTAAAGAACCACACAAGTGGGATTTGTCAACTCTCTTTGCTGATGACACTGTGCTCTTGGAATTCGAAGAGAATTTCAGAGATTGTGGATGAATTTGGTAGGGGTGCGGGGAGAAAAAAATTTTAAAGGAATACGGAAAAATAAGGTTTAATAAAAAAAAAGATTAGGTGAAAAAATTTGAATTCTTTGGGAGGAGAGAGTATGGAGGGGGTGAAGTATAAAATTTGGAGTGGACGTGTCAGCGGATGGTCTATGAAAGTGATGAATCAAAAATTTATGGGAAAAAAAGGATGAGTGTGCATTAGGATCTGGGAGACAAAGAACTTTGCCCTTTGGAGCAAAGGGGGGAATGTATGAGAGTATAGTTTTACCAACGCTCTTTTTGGGGTTGAACGTGGGTGATAATTGGCAGCGAGGAAAACGGGCATGAGATGCAGCTGAGAGCAATGTGGGGTGAAATTTAATGCGAAAATTCGTAGTTTGGAATTAGGAGGGGGTGGGGGTTTAAAAAAAATGTTGCCAAGGGGTGAGGAAGGGTTTGTTGAGGGGGTTTGGGACAGGAGAGAATGGAGCGAAAAGGATGATTTCAAGAGTGTATCAGTCTGTAGGGGAAAGGGAAGGGCGGTAGGGTGGGGCCCTGGGAAAGGTTGGAGGGGGGGGGAAAAGGAGGTTTTGTGTGCGGGGGGCTTGGACTTCCAGCAGGCATCATGAGCGGTTTGATGGGAGTGAATGGAGAAAAGGTTTTTAATATTTGAGTGCTGTTGGGTGAGCAAAGAAAACATTTATAAGGGTTCCGGGGAAAAACCGGGCGGGCCCGGACTTGAGTCCTGAAGGGGAAGTACATCCCTGCACTCTAAAGGGAGGGTGTTAATTTGCATTTTAAAAACTGTAGTTAAAGCACCCTTCTGGCAAGACATGATGGAGTAAAGGATGGTAAAATTTTTTCTTTTTCGGCCCCCGCTTGGGTGGGAATCGGCCAGGGAAATAAAAAAAAAAAATTTAATATATAAAATTTTTTTTTTTTTTTATCATATATATTATTTTTTTTTTTTTTTTATTATCACCGGCCGATTCCCCCCAAGCGGGGGTGGCCCAAAAAAAAAAAACTTTCACCATCTTTCACTCCACACGTCTTGCCAAAAGGGGTGCTTTCCTACAGTTTTAAACTGCACATTAACCCCCTCTTCAAGTGCGGGCACGACTTCCCATCTCCAGGACCAACCCCGGCCTGCCGGTTTCCCTGAACCCCTTCAAAAATTTTTTACTTTGCTCACATCCAACAGCACTCAAGTTTTAAAAAACCCATTGCC